GTAACTGTTTACGAGTTGCTAGTTGTAAATTGCCTCTTGGAAAATAAAATTAGCCCAAAAGGTCGACTAGTAACAACGTATACGAGGACCATGGATTTCTTTGTTGGAATATCCTATTGTATTAAAAAGGTTAGTACAGAATTTCAAAAATTTAGTATAATTGCATGCTGCAATTTCCCAATGCCACTGTGAAGGTATAGGTGGAATCAAAGATTTAAGTGCTTTATTGATTTCTTCAAGTATTGCATCATGGCCTTGATGTTGATTTTGAAGTTTAGATCATGAAGTCGTGATTCTTTCCTGAATTAACTTGCAAATTTTGGGCCTTAATCGTAACATTTGTTCTTCATCAGCAATTTCGATTAGTTGATAAATCAGATACCTTCGGGCAGATCAAATAGAAACAAACATTCACTTTGCCACATGTCTTAATGATGGCCTATTAAAACGAACTCCAATACGAAAGTTAATAATTACTTGTAAATATAAAAAAATTTGTTCATACTTTAACCTAAATGTAAGATCCATTTGATTTTGGACCCATACTAAATAGTCTTCAACAAAAGGATTTTTCTCAGAAATAACATATGGCCACATTAATTCAGAAGCCATCGCGTATCTATATATATTGCATACTGAATCCCACGATTTATGATGATCAGAGTAATTTTTAAAAAAATGAAGCTGATTTTTGCTTCGATACCCTTGACATTGAACAAACTCCTTCATATCGATATTCCAATTTAGTTTGATGAATGATTTTAACATATTCATCTCTTTGTGTAGAGCACCCGGAATTAATATAAGCCACGGAAAATCCCTTTTAATTTTTTGTATATGATAATACGGCACTCCATCGCAAGTAACCACAATCTATTTATGGCTACCATCTTTAATTCCAGAAATTCCTTCAATATACTCAAGAACCTTTCAAATATTAGCAACCGAATTTGGGTTAACTCCTATTGGATCGGGAACAAATAGTTGTGGCATAGTATCAGGAAATTTAATTAGGCGTCGATTTACGGAAATATCACATGACCTCCGGAAATTTCCGCTTGAAAAATTTGATT